GGCGAGCCGAACCGCGGGGGCTCTGGGAAGTCCGCCGCAAAGCTCCCAGTGCAGGGAGGGGGAGCTAGCGCCGGAGGAGGAGCCCGCCGTCCCTGCACCAGGCGAGCTTTCCAGTCTGAGCGCGCGGGGAAGGGCTGCTAGGGGCCCTGCCACGCCCCCGGGCCCCCTGGGCAGCTGCGGAGCAGGGCGGTTCGGCACGCACGTGAGAGCCCGGCGGGGGCAGGTCCGGTCTCTCCCCCCAAGAAATCACAGCCAGCGCCGGTGAAACCTGCTGTGCGGGCAGCGCGCACCTGGGCCGCCCCGGCCTGCAGCACGTGGAGTGACCCTGGGGCGCAGGGGGAGAATAAAACAGGGAGGCGTCGGTCCCCGAACGCCTCTGGAAGTCTCCCGGGGTCCGGCCCTGGCAAACGCACGGACTGGTACCGGCTAGCGGCAGCGTGGGCCACACTGTTCCCTTGAACGTGCGCCTGTGTCCCCAGCCGACTTTTCCTGCCCATGCAACCCAGGCATTACATGCCCCGAAACTCAGCACACACCTGGTCCCGCGGGCGGGATCCAGCCGTGGGGACGATTCCGTCCAGCCCCCTTACGCGTCCTCTCTGCACTGCCTGACCTCGCCTGGGTCAGGTCCCACCGCAGGGCTGACTCGCCGTGGTGGCGCGCCACGGGGAAAGGTGGCAGCCTCAGGCATGAACGTGTGGAATTGAACTGCCGGTGAGAGAAGAGAGCTGGTGGCGGGAAGTCTTCTCAGGCTTGAACTCTTCATCGGGGTGCAACAGCTTAGCGCGAAATTTGTTCCGTAGAAAGTTCTTGCGTGGCTTAGTAATCGGGTTGCCATTACCGCCTTTTTAGTTGCAGAAAACCAACAATACCATTGCCCCCCTGCTCCGTCCCTCACTGGCTAGCGTTGCCAGCTTTCTTCTAATTGCACACAACCAAACACTCTAGTCCCGCCCCTTCCTGGAGGCCCCGCCTCCTGCCCCCCTCCTGCCTGGAAGCTCTGCCCCCACCTCACTACATTCCCCTTCCTGGGTGGCTCGCTCTCCCCCACCCTCACTCACTTTCACTGGGCTGGGGATGAGTGGTTTGGGGTGTAGGAGGGGGCTCCAGGTGGGACAGAAGGATTTGGAGTGTGGTAGGGGGCTGTGGGTTGAGGTGCAGGAGGGGGCATGGTCTATGGGCTGGGGGGTTCAGGCTGGGGGTTAGGGTGCAGGGGGGTGAGGGCTCCAGATGGGGTGCGAGCTCTGGGCTGGGGCCAGGGATAGGGGTTTGCGGTGCAGGAGGGGGGGCCTAGGCTGGGGGAGGCTGAGGCGTTCGGAGTGTGGGAGGGAGCTCCGGGCTGGGGCAGGGAGTTGTGGCGCAGCAGGGGATGCGGGCTCTGGGGTGGGGCCAGGGATGAGGGGTTTGGGGGGCAGGAGGGAGTTTGGGTGCAGGATGGGGTTCTAAACTGGGGTAGGGGATTGGGTCGGGTCATGGGGGGGGGGGGTTCAGGGTGTGAGCTCCAGGTGGCACTGACCTCATGCAGCCCCAGCATTTCCCAGGGATGGAGGAAATCCACACGGCTCCTGGGAAGCAATGGCATGCCCCTCCGGCGGGCGGCCAGGGGGCTCCAGGTGCTGCCCCCACAGCTCCCATTGACTGTGGTTCCCTAAAGATGTCATAGCACACCCTTGGGAGCCACATAACTGTCTGTAAGGGCAGATTTTATCCCTGTGTTACCTATAGCTTGATTAAGCAGTAACATACTACTCAAAATGATAGCAATGGAAAACAGAAGGCACCTGTTACCTTATATTGTAAAGAAAGCTTTAAAAAAGCCAGTGGCAAGCATAGTAGTTTAGAGTGTAGTGTGTTGAGGAAGTCGGTGAGAGACATGTTTTCTTTAAGCCCAGGCCTTGTCTGAAAAGTAACTACAAAATGGCATATTAGGGTTCCATGTTCATAAGTACAAAAAATTGTTTTGCTTTGGTTTGTTTCTAACAGCCCTATAAATATGTAGAAACTGAAAGTCATACTGGGTTCTTTCCTTCTTGCAAATCACCACTAGTAAGAAAGGATCTGCAGACCAAATCAGTCTCTTGGTGACACCTGTAGAACCCCTTTATCTTGAAACTGTGTCATCAATAACACCTGCCTACGGCTTCCAGTTGTTTTGCATTGGTGTAACTGATTGGAACTTATAAACACTGTTGCTGATGCACAAGTCTCTTACTTTTGACATATCCAAATCCTGCCATTACATGCAAAACATGGAATGCCCATTATCCATCAAAGCTATCCAGAAAATTTACTAGCAGCATTAATCTAAACCAGCTCTGATATTTTTGGATTTTTTTACATTACACTTGCATTTCAGAAAACCCATTGCTGCATCTTAAAATAGCCATAAACTCTAGGATCCTTAATCTTCTGCAGTGTTTGTAGATAGCTAGAGCCATATGTGGCACTCTAGCATATCAAGTAAAATCCACATTACCTTGTGTACCATATAGTCTATTAAAAAGGATTATAAACCTCAGCTTTCAGACAATGACCTGGATCTGACAGCTCAAAAGACATATGAAACTATACAGAGCAAATTCACTTTGGAAATGTTTACGCGTTCACTTCTAACAATGTATTTGAATGTCTTTTGGAGTTTTCCACTCTTGTCTGAAATATTAGCGTGATTCCTAAAAGGCTTTTCGTGTCAGGTTGTCCTGTTTTTTATCCCCATGTCCCAAGGCCTAAATAGGAAGGTATTTCAAAATGAATGGTAGTAGAGACTATATTAAGTGTAATATCACTTGGAAAGAAAATCTCATTGTTTTGAAAGTAAGCAAATCTGGAAAGGTAATACATTTAACGTTACATGATTTAATTTAATATTAATCTATATTGGATAAAACCAGATTGTATTGTAATCAGATTTTATTTTACATCTCCTGTTTGAAAATGGCCAACTAAAAAGTAATGTCTCTGTTATTTTGAAGCATCGGCTATGTCATTTAGTTGAAGCAAGAATTAAATAGTGATCAGACACATCAAGAGAGAAAGTGTTTTATAGATTCAAGCTTCCAGGCTTTTCTGGAAGGTCATAGTATAGTGGACTATGTTAACAGCAGTGAACTTTAGTAATAAATATAAATCACATACAAGGGCCCAATCCTGCAACGACATACATGCATGATTAACTTTAAGTCATACTGAAGTCTTTGTGGCATCAGAATTTAAATCTGCTACTTGCAGAATGACTCAATTCAAAGGGTTGAATCCTGTTCACATTGAAATTAATGGCCAAACTTCCACTGACTTCAGTGGGGCCAGGATTTCAATCAAGAATAATCACCTCTCTATAAGATACAATGATTATATTTTGTCTCAAATCTTTAGTTTATCTACAAACTACACTGCAACCCATTTTATAAGTAGCTATCATTTTATGTGGAATTATCTGAGCGTAAGAACTTTGCGTACCACTGGAAATTTGCTGCCAAGACTTTGTGACCCTAGCCCCAACTCTTTACGATGTGTTTTCTCTTTAATTTGTTGTATGTATGTCTGAACAATTTTATGGTAGTCTATGCAATCTGGGATTTAACATTTTTCATTAAAAGAAATAAAATTAGCTGTCCCACTTCTTTTCAACACTCCAATTGATGAAGCTGCAGAAGAGGTTGTGGTTCAGTATATTCAATGAGAACCATTGTCAACATTTGAAATTCCTATATACATGAGTCTTAACTGCCCATATCCTTTAATTACCAATTTTCAGCTGTAGCTATATTACCTTGAAATATGATCTCCTTCAGTCTTACAGGACATTGGCCTTGGATGACAAATCTCCAAAGCAAAACCCATTTGCTAAAGGAAGTGATGCTGGTAATTAGTAGGTACCACTGCACCATTTGATTCAGTAATAGAATAATCTCCCAGCATGGAATTAGACAGCATTGTGAAAGTGGAGATACTGGGCCAGCTCCTCACCTTGTGTAAATTGTCATAGCTCAGTTGAAGTCAATAGAGCTCTGACAGTTCACAGCAGCTGAAGATCTAGCTCCCTCTTTTTTGCTTGATATTTAAACCAGATGTATTTTTCTCATTTATGTAGGACCTTTCATCCAGAAGAATAACAAAGTGTATAAAGTCCTTTGAGAAATTTCTTGAAGAAAGGTATTTCAAAAATCTAATAATATAAATCTTTTGTCGAGTGATCATTTTTATGTTAGAAGACACTTTGTCCCAGATCCTCAAAGGTTTTTAGGTACCTAACTCCCATCAGTTTCAATGGGATTTAGGCATGAGGATATGGGAAATTGTATTTATGCTGTATATATTTGTTCATTTGAGGAACTCAAAGCACTTAACTATGCTGAATAAATGCTGTCTCCATTTGTAAGAAAGGGAAATGGAGACACACAAGTTTAAGGCCAAAATTTTCAAAACCAGTCTCTAAGCTTGGGTGCCCAAATTGAGACATCTTCAGACGTGTTGCACACTGGCTACCAGCTGAAGTTTAATGGGGACTGTGGGTGATCAGCACCTCTGAAAATCAGTCCCACAGTGATCAGCACCTCTGAAAATCAGTCCCACAGTGTCTTAGGATGGGCACCCCAAAACGGAAGCACCAAAAATCAGAGGCCATGTTTGTAAGTTTAAGTCTGTGATAGAGGCAGAATGGTACCCTGGTCTCGTGACTATCTCATGTTGTATCCGTTTTGATTCCAATTTACCTTCTTGAAAAATAAAAGCTTTTAGCAAGAAAACACAGCTGCTTATTGTCCAACAGAATGCTCATATGTGTTATTATGCAATACATGTTAAAATCATAGATGAGTTTATTCCACACTGGAGGCAATTTATAAAGTCGTAACATTTGATAACATAATGCACACTGAATGGCTTTCAGTCACTGTAGATCATTCTGCCTTACTTAGTAAAATCTGTGGTGTATTTTTTGTACAAAGACCTCAGCAATCATTTTAGAACACAGGATAAAGCTGAAACTTATAACCAGTACATGCAAGTGATTTTTAACTTTATTTTAAAAAATATAGAACAAATGCATGATGATTGTCCTACGAAGCATATATTACAGTGAATAAAACAGCAGCAGTATAATTTCCATCACAATTCTATAGCAACTAAGAATACTGATAATATTCTACTGCAAAAGTGAAAAACCCAGGCACCATAAAGTATTTTAATTCTTACATACATTCTAAACACATTTTTACATTAATAAAAATTAGTTTTTTTAGACTAAAGCATTACACAAATATAAATTTATATATGAAGCTCATCATTTTATCTACATTTAAATGCAGAGCAGCAAATAAAATACACTTGAAATAATTACTGCAATGTACATATAAACAGTGATAGAGCAAAGTTCCAAAAGACAGAAATACTAGCATTTTTAAAAATGATAAAACACAAAAGTATTTTAAAATGTATTAAACAAATATATTAAATGCTTTCCAATCTGCGAACACTAAAGGAAAACAATTCTCCTAAGCAATACAGGGCCAAACCCTGTTAACCTTGACTCAGACTCTGCCCAACTTATACTGATTTCAGTGGGAGTTTGCCTGAGATGGGCTGAATGAAAATGTTCTAAAGACATCAGAATTTGCCCAGCAGACAATAAAAAGCAGCATTTATGCATACAATTCAGTCTTATGCACGCCTGTACAAATGTCCTTTAAGTTGGTTAGTGTCTGAATAATTCCTAGAATCAAATCATAAACTGTGTTCAGGGGGGGAGTAGAGACATGATTGCAATTAGTTTTGGAAAAGCCAACTGTGAAAATGAAGAGGCCCTCAAAAAGCACATATCAGGAAATAAAATATTAAAGCTACAGGAGACTAAAACAGAAATAAGTATCCTATGTTATGTGAATAACCTGTTGAGGAGTACGGCTGTGATCCTGCAAATCCTGGCACACATGTTTAACTTTACACTCTGCAAGTAGTCCCATTGACTTCAATGTGTACATTGCACATTGTAATTTGTACCCTTTGCAGGACCAGGGCCTAAAAGCATTAAAGCGTTTGTAACCAAAAAAGGATCTGTAAATACATATGTGAATTAAATTCATTTAGTATGAAAGGCATCCCAGTGTTGAAGGCATCATGTACTACTGAAGTGGCGTGCAGAGCCTTGTGATTGCTTAATGCACTGTGGTAGATAGATTTCACCCCTTTTGCTTAAATCTTTGAGTATTCCAGGATGCACGGTGTACACCCAGGATAGGTACTTAGTAGAGCACTATTACTTTAAAAATAATTCTGCCTTTATAAAGGCATACTGCTGCATTTGCAGGGATAGCTTGGAGGTGAGGGGTGACAACATATTCATTCACAATCTAAGACTTTATTAAATATCTGTAACAACTACTGTGTGTGTTGTGTCAGACTTATTCGTGACAGAGTCATTTGCAGTTAGTGCACAGCACAGCTGTACAATCGCTTAGTTAAATGTAAAGGATAATTGCCTAAATACCTAACCATATTACCAAAGCAATCCCTTGACGTATTGCCACTAACACTTTATTGGCAGTTAGAATAAAGAAACTGCAACTTACAGTGACATAGGCATGATAACAGTTACATAGAATAAGTCTGTTTTTCACTAAGGGAACCCACTAATGCAGATATAGCACTAGGTTTCTCCATTAAAAAAAAAAAGCTTCCTGTTACAACAGATTTTTGACAATACTACACCATTTGCATAGATACTGAACAAGTTACAATAACGATTAATCATGTTTTTAAAAAAGCAATGTGTACACTAAGTTTTCATTCCATAGGATTAGTGTTTTCAGTTCATCTCTAGGTAAATATAAAGACACGCATGCACACACACACATTCAGTATTTGTTTTCTACATACCATTTCTTACATATTTCTATCTAAACACCTCTCACGTGTAAAAATTTGTATAGTTTTTGTCCTTTATATGGCTGGATCCTGCAAGGCAAAAGTAAGTTGAGAGCAGCTAGAACCTTGCAGTGTTGGGCCTATACTGTATACCAAACCTAATGCACATATTTTACTTGATTCTTACAGTGATATTACTTTGCTACCTACTAGTAAAGGCACGATCATTAACTAAACAGAGAATTATCTTTGTACATTAGAGAAGGGAGCTGAGAAGATCTGATGATGTTTCTTTAAGTTGAAATTAAGTCAACTAAAAAAATTAGTTACAAGTGATTTCCAGTACTATGCCTGCTCCTGAGCCCCCTGGGATATCTGTACAATCACATTTTACTGTTTTTTAAATGTCTTTATTTCTCCCCTGTTGTTGTGGGAAATATCTATGCAAACAAAAGGGGAAACTGTTTATACACAAAGTGCTGTCAAATACACACAAACTAAACAAACTGAAAACAAAATTTCTTTAGTCTTTCAAGATCTGTCAAAATCTTAGGTAGCAATAATAGGTAACACTTTTCAGTCAGAAGTGTTATTAACAGTGTCCCTTCTAAGGAAAATTGCAGTGCAACACAGAAATTATTTTAATCGCTACACTGAATTACAAAGAGTAAATTACCAAGACAGCCACACAGACACAGATATTCCCCTCTTCCCCTTCAAGCAACCAAGTTTAGTGCAATGAAGTGAATGACTCCTCCCTCTAGGTCACAGAACTGCAATAGCACTTAAGGCTGTGATAACACTTAACTCTCCTGCTCTGCTGCTCATCGTAAAGCAATGAAGTAACCAGCCCATGTCCCACAAACAAATTTGGTTGCACAGGGACACTCAAGGAGCCACCAGAGAGGTATGCTTTACTGTGCATAGGGTGCAGACCCAGACATGGACTCTTCATACATTTCCTCTCTACCCCAACAGGACCGGCCTGATTGCACTGCATCAGCAGCTCCTAAAAAGCTGCACTGAAAGAGGTAGGATTTCCTCCAAAAAATGCTGTTAGACTATGCTTTTAAAATTGTATTTTAACAGGAAGCTGCTGTCTTGACAATTTCATGATGCTGAGTAGGACAACAAGTATCAGCTTCTCTGTTTCAAATAATGAAATCAGAGATTTTCAGAGCTGTTGTAAAACAAGTTCTATACCTAAAAAGATGATTTAGCAAATAGCTGAATACATTCTTTTTAAAAATAGTTATTTCTAGCTTCCTCCCAAAAGCTTTGAGAGTCTTGTATTTCTAATAATTTCAAATGGTGAATATGATGTTTCTGTCCTACTCTGAATCAAAATGGGCCCCTGATGGAAAGTATAAGTGAAATATTAGACCTAACTGAGACAGACATCTTTTTTTCATTCATTTGACAAGATATTGAAACTGATCAGTATTTCTAAAAAGCTGTGAACATTCCTATGTTAATATTCTTATTTAGTAAACATTTATCTATCTATATTAGTGTAATAAGTCACTGCATCATTCTGAATGATGAGTGAGAGGCCCATCCAACTACATCTAAAATCTGTTCTCTACGGTATATGATTTTAAAAGTCTGAAGAAAGCGGTTACATTAAAAAACAAAAAAAAAATTAAACCCATCCTGGTGGTCACTGGTTGTCCCATGACACACAGTTAAACATAATTCCTAGCATTTCAGGGATTAAGGCAAACATTATAATACACACTAGAATAATGGATCTTCATTCACCTCTAATAAGATTTCTAAACAGGTATTCATATTTTATAATTTCATATTAGAAATTTTATAAATATAGGGAGCCCAAGTCTGCAAGTTTCTCTCCCCACAAAGGTCCCATTAAATCAATGGATGTTTTTAAAAAAAGATAAAATCTCTTGAAGTATCGATGATTAATAAACTGTAAATACTATTACATTTTCTAAAATATATTAGTTACACACACATTATGTAGAAACAAATATGAGCAGGAGTACTTGTGGCACCTTAGAGACTAACCAGTTTATTTGAGCATAAGCTTTCTGAGCTATGCTCAAATAAATTGGTTAGTCTCCAAGGTGCCACAAGTACTCCTTTTCTTTTTGCGAATACAGACTAACACGGCTGTTACTCTGAAATATGAGCAGAGACTAATGTCAGTTTTCCTCTACACAGATAGTATTTTTAATCCACTTAGTAGTAACATCCTCAAAACTGAGACAAAGGAATTTCCATTCCAATAATAGCGTCTTTCTCTATTTCCAAATAAAAATGCTTCTAACTCAGAAGACATCCCATCATGTAAGTTAAAAAATGCTTCCAAAAAAAAGGAAACCAACATCTGAACTTTGATTTCTATTTTGCTGAATAGTAATAGTAAAAGCTGTTATCTAACATAGGGTCACATTCATTCCTTTGAAGACAATAGAGTTGCACCCACCTACCCACATGAACTTTTGTTGGGTTGTTTGCTTTCCATCCACTTTCCTAGCACCTTTCCTTCCTCCTCACCCAAACTACGTTGCTAATCAGCTTCCCTTAGTTTAGTGGAGTTCTTTTCAGCACGCACCCTCTTGTTGTTAATGGTCAGTAGGGGCCGCTGGTGCAACAGCACAAATCCACCCCTCCCTCCATTCCAGGTACTGCAAGATATCCACTATCCAATCCAAACTGAGGGGTAAAAGAACAAGCTCAACATTAAAAACCAATTCCCCTATATGGTATCAACACATTTCTGGTTCTGTGCCAAGAAGCTTTTATATTTTTGTGTTCACCAGGGTTTGTGCACATGAGCTGCTGCTAACACTGGAATTTACTTTTATACCTAAAAAGTAGCAAGAATCCAATGCCGCTAAAACACACACACACACACAATGGCTTTCCACCTTCTCTATGAAATTCTAGATGTTGTAGAAGTGTAAAGATGATTTTTAATATCAGACAACATAAGTGTTTGAAGACACCTGTCAAAACTGTGTTCACTGGGTCTTGCCTTACAGTGAGTAAAGGAGAAAACTAACAGCATAATGTACTTAGGCAATATTGTCCTTTAGATTGTAGGACTATCTATTTCCTTTAGTCAATGGCAGCATTCTGGATGCTCTTTGCTTACTATTGGGAACTTATTTTTAATTAATAACACACATTTTGGGCAAAATAACTCCACATTTTGAAATCCTCCATAACTAACAGTGATACTTCCCAACTATTTAAGCCTATATACACTAAAAATATTTAAATGATTATGTACCTTTGATAGGTAACACAAATCTTTGCTTTTACACTGAAGAGAAAACCATCAAGATATCGTTCATTATGTTCAAATTAATTATTTATTCAATATTGTCATCACAACTTGCTTCCTGGCTTTTGGACATCAGACCCATGTGCACGAACTGAAACATTTGTTGAATGAATGAAACTGAAACGAACTGAAACATTTGTTCGGGAGGGGGGGACTCAGACTTTGCAAATAGATATATTTCAAATTTAAATCCTACCATCTCTGAAGATACCCTGTCAGGATTGAAAATAAATATATTTAAATAAAAGCTTTGCCTCCATGTTTGTCCACCCTCCTCCTCCTCTCTGTGCAAGGAACTCTAGTACCACAGGCACTTGTTTTCTCGTCAAGAAGCAATGTATGCAATCAGACCCCTCTCCCCCAACGTATGCAATCAGACCCCTCTCCCCCAATATGCATATGATGGATGAGGAGGAAGAGGGAATTTAGCTGTGAAGAAGAAAGCTTTTAGTAATGCTATACATAAGTACTAATTACAGAGATTCCCACTGAGTTCAATAGAGCCAGGATTTCACTCTGTGATTTCACTCTGCTTCTGAATTTTTCCTTTAGCACCTGGAGTAACTTTGGAAGGAAAAAAATTCAGATGTGACTTCATATGAAACAAAATAATATTCTTGAATACTTTTCCTACAGTGTATCATTGCTCATAAGCATCTTCATAGTCTGAATTATGCATATTTACTTACTGGTAAGGATAATTGAACATTTCCTTACTACTTTGATATAAATATATTGTACTCTACTTTGTTAAAAGTATCTGATTTGTGCTGTTACCATTTGTAAACAAGCTTTGCAGAATATTCTCTAGACCAGTGGTTTTCAATCTTTTTTCATTTGAAGACCCCTAAAAATTTTGAATGGAGGTGTGGACCCCTTTGGAAATTCAACCTGTGGTCTGCAGACCCCTACCCTAGAAGTTCTACACTGAAAACTGACTGAAAAGAATTCAACAAAAAATGCTGCATGTGCTTGGCACAGTATAAACTCTGGGCTTCTGTGGTTACGGTAACACTTCCAGGCTTTGACCTGTAGATGGGAGTATTCGCATATTTTTGATTGATCAGAGAAACGGAATGCCTTTTCTGGGATCTGAAACTTTATTTTCATAAGGAGTCCAGTGGCACCTTAAAGACTAACAGATTTATTTGGGCATAAACTTTCGTGGGTAAAAAACCCACTTCTTCAGATGCATGGAGTGAAAATTACAGACGCAGGCATTATAACTGACTCATGAAGAGAAGGGAGTTACCTCACAAGTGGAGAACCAGTGTTGACAGGGCCAATTCAATCAGGGTGGATGAAGTCCACTCCCAATAATAAATGAGGAGGTGTCAACTCCAGGAGAGGCAAAGCTGCTTTTGTAATGAGCCAGCCACTCCCAGTCCCTATTCAGGCCCAAATTAATCCTGTTAAATTTGCAAATGAATTTTAGTTCTCCTGTTTCTCTTTGAAGTCTGTTTCTGAAGCTTTTTTGTTCAAGTATAGCTTCTTTCAAATCTGTTATAGAATGTCCAGGAAGATTGAAGTGTTCTCCTACTGGCTTTTGTATGTTACCATTCCTGGTATCCAATTTGTGTCCATTTATTCTTTTACGTAGGGACTGTCCGGTTTGGCCAATGTACATGGCAGAGGGGCACTGCTGGCACATGATGGCATATATAACATTAGTAGATGTACAGGTGAATAAGCCTCTGATGGTGTGGCTGATGTGGCTGGGTCCTCTGATGGTGTCACTAGAATAGATATGGGGACAGAGTAGGCAACGAGGTTTGCTACAGGGATTGGTTCCTTGGTTAGTGTTTCTGTGGTGTGGTGTGTAATAAATCTGTTAGTCTTTAAAGTGCCACCGGACTCCTTGTTGTTTTTGTGGATACAGACTAACACGGCTACCTCCTGATACTTTATTTTCATAGTCACCTTTCACGGACCCCTTAGACATAGTCTGTGGACCCCCAGAAGTTGAAAACCACTGCTCTAGACCTACTCCCAATTAATCTCACACTAGTTCCCTGTAAAGCAATAAGAAGGAATTCAATATTTTAATGATCAAAGAGTACGGTCACTTTGTTATCCATAAAAAGAATAGAGAAAAGGAGTACTTTTCACGTGAGCTCACGAAAAGCTTATGCTCAGATAAATTGGTTAGTCTCTAAGGTGCCACAAGTACTCCTTTTCTTTTTGCGAATACAGACTAACAAGGCTGCTACTTTGAAATTTGTTACTCATGATACCCTATCAGACTGTGACAAAGTATTTTAATGAACAGGGGTAAGAAGAACATATGAAAAGCAGTTGCTTTCCTCATAAAATGTTCAGGGCCCTCTTTTGTAAGCAATCCTAAAATTCTTTATACTTTATGATCACCAATTAATTGTATATAATTGTGCAACCAAAATTTTAGCATAGCAAAGGTACAGTTATCCCCTTGGAAGTCTGTTCTTCCCCTCATCTTCCTTGATGTTTTCATCTGGGACATCAATTTATCACTGAAGAAAGTCTTCATGATACTGGATCTGAAGTATCCAAGAGGAATTAGCAGCTAATCCAACATGTCAGTCATGCCTTGTGGTAGGCACTTTCAAGATGCACAAATATAAATTATTGTTAATCTGCTGGCAGCTACCTTTTGACAATTTCGTTCAGCAACTACATTCGGTCACAGTTTACTATTACTTAAGAGACATGCACGTTAAGGTTGTTTGCAAACATTAACATTCACTTGTCCTTTCATGTGTAATAAACCGAGCATTTTCATCAACATGTTCATCTGCTTCTTCCACAGGGTTCTTTTCCTGTATTCCACTATTTTCGGAGCAAGTATCTTCATCTTCCTCATCTCTAGGATGACCCTCAAGACTGTGTCTGATGCCATACGCAAAGTAAATAAAGAAGCCTTCCAAACAAAAAAAATACTTAATAGTTTTTGGCAGGCAAACACTGCATTAAGAATGATTCCCAACCCTCTGGATAACTGACACCTTTTACCTGAACAGTTCCCTGCTTGTGGTATGCAAATTACTACTAGTACTTCAGGACTTTGTGCCTGGTAATGTAGCTCTTCCCTACATTAAAGACAACTGGCAGTGCTGGACCCCAGTGCAACATTTCTGTCTATTTCCCAGTCATTTGTGTATGCTCTTATCCGCACTGCTAATGGTGACCGCTGCCTGTAATTCATGACTGCAATACAAGTTTGGAGCACCAAAACTGACTTTGCAGTCAGTGTATCTTTCTACAATTCAAAAGTACGGCAGTTCAGAGGAGAATGATACACAGAGTAGTAGGAAACAGATACAGTAGTTGCAAATACTCCTCTCTCTACAGTTTTGACTATAATTATTAGAAAAATATTGATTTTGATTTTACATCTTTTTCTCCCCATGTTTTCTGGCCTGGCTTACAGGCACAGTCTCTACCAATTTAAGTAAATTGATTTAGAAACTGAGCTAGTTAAATCAGTGAAACCTCTTTGTGTGAATACTCTTAAATTGGTTTAACCAACTTAAGTTACATCAATATAAAGCACTTTCTTAAACCAATTTAAAAAACTGTCCATATAAATTATTTGCACTGATTTAACTAACTCAGTTTCTAAACCAATTTGGTTAAAATCAGTGCTACTGGTATGTGTGTGTGAACAAAGCCTACATAGATTTCTCTTTCTCTGCCACTACACTCATTGAATCCCAGCTAACCTTTCAGGAGCATTTTGACACAACAACCACTTTCAGCTCTCATTTTGTATTTACCATAGGGTGACCAGATAGCAAGTGTGAAAAATTGGGAAGGGTGGGGAGTAATAGGCACCTATATAAGACAAAGCCCTGAATATTGGGACTGTTCCTATAAAATCAGGGCATCGGGTCACCCTAATTTATCAAAACAAATCCTGAGAATATGTTAAATATTCTCTATTTTGATTTTGTATCACAAAGTGAGTTGAAAGTGCTGCCTCTGAAATAGAGTAGGCAGGCAGAAAAGATTTACCAAACTCAATGTTAATGCTTTCCAGGCCTACATATACATCACCTATATTTGCAAGATAGCAGTAAGCTAACTGGAATTAGTCATGTAGCTTTTATGATTCCTGCTACCTCACAACCGCATGTGCAGTTTTGGCAGCAGGTGCATACATCTTCTGAGGTATGTTTTTGTTTTGACTATTGATATCATTTGACATTTATTGAAAGAAACCTTTTTATTTGAATAGTTAAAAGAAGATGATTAAATCATTCCTAGAAAGAACCACAAGAGAGGACCCATCAATCCTAATGTAAACAGTTGTTGTAAAGTACCTACCAAAAGCCATCCAGAAGCTAAATCTGATCCAAGTCTCTCCACTTAACTGTACCATCAAGTAAATATTCACCAAGATACTGAAGGATGGCAAAAATGGCAAGAATGGAACCTAAGGGGAAATAGTTTATAAGATAGTAAAGTTTTTCAAACCTTTCCGCAGAATAAATGGCGCATTTCAGTTTTGTAATACAAATAAAGGGACTGGCAGACCCACTCACCAGTGAGAGTAAGACACTTTTCCTGTTTAGTGTAAGGGTTAATCACTAGTTTCTGCAAAACTGTTAATCACTAGTTACGCTTTCATTTTTAAAAAAAGGTTTGATCCCCACAGCTACAAAGAAAACCTTGTCAATTTGCACTGAACATACAGCAGTGCAGTGCTGAATTCCTGAATTAATCTAGGTGGGCAGCCTGAAACAATACTTATTTTACTGATTTAAATTTATATTCAACAGCCTTTACCCACAGCTCTCAGCACACTTTATAAATAATTAAAAAGGATAACATGCCTCAATAAAAAAGCACACTCCATTTATATCCCTGTCCTTCCCAATCACCATACCAAATAGCCTCCCATACCTCATCCCATCACTCAGTTTATCTCCACTTTCCTAACTGCCCATTAAAAAAAAAATCCTTGTAGTGTATGTGAAAGACTTATTCATACTCCAAGGAATCATGGCACACAGTCTAAGGGCAGGTCTTCACTACCCGCCAGAGAGATACAATCGATCCCGAATACGCTCCCTATCGACTCCAGAACTCCAGCTCACAAGAGGCAGAAGCGGAGTCGACGGGGGAGCGGCAGCAGTTGACTCGCTGCCGTCCTCACGGCCAGGTAAGTCGACCTAAGATACACCAACTTCAGCTACGCTATTTGCGTTGCTGAAGTTGCGTATCTTAAGTCGACCCCCCCCCACCCCCACCCGCCCCCCCCAGCCCAGTGTAGACCAGGGCTAAGCAACTGGGTTTTTGTGCTAAACTGCTCCTCCAGGGCTGGGAGGGAGGAACTCTTCCCTCTAAGTTACAGGCTCTGTAGTAGTGAAGCCACTCTTCAACTGCTATCCCAACCTTAGGGCTGAAATGGTCTCTGTGCTGCTTGCCTCAGCACCCGCAAGTGGTAGGGAATAGCTGGTGGATCTCTGTACTAGGCAATTTACCAGCTAATACCACCAATCAGTGGTGTGCAGCACTGCAGTGTGAAAGGGGTATAGTGCACCCTATGCAAGGCCTCCTCATCCAGTCTGCAATGAAATCATACTAGAATTGATCTGAGACCGTCTAGACAATGGGATGGTAAAAACGCCTAAGACCTGTCTACACTATCACTATCACCAATAGTGCAATGGTGAGACACATTGTCTGAAAAACACAAGCATAGACACAGCCACACACATAGTTTTATTAAAACAAATTGAAACTCTGTATTATTTATGTTAACTTACTCACCATAAAGGCCACTTTCTGCTGGCTCTGAGGCTGCCTCCAAATGGTGAGAACTATGACTATGAAGAGTACTACCAACACAGCAAGAAGACCAATGCTCCAAGGCTCCATATTAGCAATAAAATGAATCCCATATGTGCTCAGAACACTCAACCCACACACAAGAAAAGCTGTGTGAAAAAGAAAATAAGAATTGGAAGGAAGTCAAACCTTTCAAAACTTTTTAAATAAACATGCAACTTAATATGATAAAGCAGATCTTTATCAGTAGAGACATTATCAGATGTTAAAATGAAAAAAGTCTGTTTTGACAAGAAAACACTTTATTCTGCCTTATTTTTGACTGAAGGAAAATAAATAAGATTATGGAACAAACTATAAAAATCTGTTTTCCTACCAGAATACTTCATTTTTGACATTTGTGAGACGGTACTCCAGGATGTTACCATTGGATTTGAACTTTTGTTCTGCTTAATTAAATTCCACTATTTATGGAACTTGATTTGAATGTATTGTACTTATTTGGGTATCTGTAGACTTACCTAATAGACCCACCAAAAAGCTAACAGTAGTAGCAGACTGCTCTGTTGGCAAACTGGATGGATTCATCAATGTCTGAAGACTGAAGCGGTGCCCTTGAAGCATACTAATTTCAGATTCCCTTTCTGATCCTGTCAGAGCCTCTTTCTCTGGAGAATATTTTGGTTGGTCATAGGTTAAATTGGGTTGGTACCTATCCACAAATAAATAGATATTTATATACAAGACTGTAACAAGTAAAGAAGTTAAGCTTGTGGTGGGGGTTAAAGGAGGATGGTTATAAATGCCACAGCAGTCTCCAATGATTCCACTCTACACTAATAGCTACAATAAAAAATAAAGTCTGCTCTTGCAAAATTCATGTGGCATCCCTTCTATCTTCTTTTATTTCTAGGTCGGGGTGGCCAACCTGTGGCTCCGGAGCCACATGCAGCTCTTCAGAAGTTAATATGCGGCTCCTTTTACAGGCACTGACTCCAGGGCTGGAGCTACAGTCGCCAACTTTCCAATGTGCCAGGGGGTGCTCACTGCTCAACCACTGGCTCTGCAACAGGCCCTGCCCCCTCTCCACCCCTTCCTGCCCCCTCCCCGAGCCTGCCATGCCCTTGCTCCTCCCCCTCTCCCCCAGAGCCTCCTGTACACCATGAAACAGCTGATCGGGAGGTGCGGGGAGGGAGGGGGAGGCGCTGATCAGTGGGGCTCCCAGTGGGTGGGAGGTGCTGGGAGCGTACATTGGTAAATTCTGGCTCCTCCTCAGGCGCAGGTTGGCCACCCCTGTTCTAGGTAGTCAATTTAATCTCTAAATTCTCTGCAAAGGGGCCTATTGTCCAACACTGCCTGCCATACTGGGCACTATCATATATAAAATAATAAAGGAAGATTACACCCTGATAACCTGGTTTCCCATAACCTGGACTTTCACAGTTTAGAATGGAACAAGAGAAACACATAAGAACTGTATGCAATAGGAGCTCTCAAACTGGGGATTGCAGGCAGGTGTTGTGGGGGAGTGGAGTAATAATCACCCTTTCCTTTCCATTTTGCTAAATGGGAGGGGTAATCCTGAAGGAGTCGTGGAATGGAAAAAGATTGAGAACCACGGGTATAGAGGATACTGCTAAAGGTAATATACTCTCTTAAAAAGTTAACAATTACAGATCACCACTTTTACAAAGCTAACACCATGTCTCCTAAGATTTTCTGAGAAAGTAATAAGCTAGAAGAGGCTTTTTGCTGATTTTTTAATTATACTGTGGGAGGCAGCTGTTTTTCAGCAAAATATTTATAATTTAAATAGAAAACACAACACAATACAAAAACCCTTCATGAGATAAAGGAAGGAGATGGAAGAGGATTTCTTGAAATACAGTAAGTCTTTTCAGTAAACTTTCACTGAGATGAGCATGAGGCAATCTAGAGGAAAAACACTAAAAAACATGCTGCTTGAATAAGGCTGAGATTTAACACCAACTTTGGAAGGAATGTAATGTTTTTAAATACATGCAACCTTACTATGAAAGGGAGCATATTCTCCTGTGAATGATAAACTAAATGAATTTAAGTTACAGTAAATCCTCACTTAAAGTCATCCTGGTTAACATTGTTTCATTGTTTTGCTGATCAATTACGGAACATGCTCGTTTAAAGTTGTGCAATGCTCCCTTATAACATCGTTTGGCAGCCACCTGCTTTGTCCACTGTTGTGCAATGCTCCCTTATAACATCGTTTGGCAGCTGCCTGCTTTGTCCACTGCTTGCAGGAAGAGCAGCCCGTTGCAGCTTGCTGGTGGGGGCTTGGAACCAGGGTGGACCAGCAGCCCCCCTATGAGCTCCCTGCTCCCCTAAGTACCCTGTGCAGCAGCCACCCAGCAGGCTACCAATTGCCAGCAGTTCAGCTGTCCCTCCCCCCACTGCCATGTGCTGCTCCTGCCCTCTGCCTTTGACCTGCTCCTGGGAGCCTCCTACTTGCTGTGCACGGGAGGGAGAAAGAGGGGAGCTAATGTCAGTGTGTCCCCTCCCCCTGTTCCCCACTTATCCCTTCTCCATACAGAGCAGGGTGTGGACAGGACAGGGCTCAGGATGGAGAGACAGCAGCTGCTGTCTCAACTTCCTGATCTTTTTAAAGGCAATGTACTTAGAGTCAGGTCAGCATACTTAAAGGGGCAATGCGCACCTCTCTCTCTCCCCCCCACACAGGGTGTGTGTCTCTGTCTGCCATGCTGTCTCCCCTCCCTCCATTCGTGCTGCCTTGTAGAGTGTGAGGCTACATTAAGAATGAGTTAACCCTTGAGGGCTCAGCTGAATGCCAGTCATCATTTGGCAGTAAGGCATTCCCTGGGCAATATCCCACCCTCTTCCACCCTCTAACTTCACCACCTCAACCAAGCTTCATAATCATCATTGCTGTGTATAGTATTAAATTGTTTGTTTACAACTTATACTTTGTGTGCATATATATATATATAATATAGTTTTTTGTCTGGTGACAAAAATTTCCCTGGAACCTAATCCCCTGCATTTACATTAATTCTTATGGGGAAATTGGATGCGCTTAACATCATTTTGCTTAAAGTCGCATTTTTCAGGAACATAACTACAACGTTAAGCGAGGAGTTACTGTACTATCGTCAGAACTACTGTTACATTTTTCAAAATTATCAGTTTGAGTTCCTGTGACTACTTAATTAGTTTTAACCTTCATTTATTGCCCCAACTACCAGCAATACACACAATTAACAAAACCTGTCTCATGTATTGCAGTACCAATATATCATTGTTATTCAGTTACCTTACATTAAAAATACCTTTAGATTAGCTGTAATTATAGACAAGTGTCACCTATTAGATCAGTGACTCTCAAGCTTTCCAGACTACTGTACCCCTTTCAGGAGTCTGATTTGCCTTGAGTACCCTCAAGTTTCACCTCACCTAAGAACTACTTGCTTACAAAATCAGAAAATATACAAAAAAGTGTCACAGTCACATTATTACTGAAAAATTGCTTCCTTTCTCATTTTTACCATATAATTATGAAATAAATCAGTTGGAATATAAATATTGTACTAGCATTTCAGTGTATAGTATATAGAGCAGTATAAACAAGTCACTGTCTGCATGAAATTTTAATTTGTACTAACATCACTAGTGCCTTCATGTAGCCTGTTGTAAAACTAGGCAAATATCTAGATGTGTACACCCTTGATTGAGAACCACTGTATTAGATCACAAAAGGAGCACCATTCTATAGCTTATAAGGATGCCTTGCCTTGAGCTATTTCTCTGACCTTGTCAAAGGCTTTCTGAAAGTCTAAGTACACTGTATCCTCTGTGTACTTAGAACATAAGAGGGGCCATACTGGGTCAGACCAATATCTATCCCAGTATCCTGTCTTCCAACAGTGGCCAATGCCAGGTGCCCCAGAGGGAATGAACAGAAGAGGTAATCATTAAGTGATCCATCCCCCGTCGCCCATTCTCAGCTTCCGGCAAACAGAGGCTATGGAGACCATCCCTGCCCATCCTGGCTAATAGCCATTGATGGACCTATCCTCCATGTATTTATCTAGTTCTTTTTTTAACCCTGTTACAGTAATGGCCTTCACAACATCCTCTGGCAAGAGTTCCACAGACTGACTGTGCACTGTGTGAAGAAATACTTCCTTTTGTTTGTTTTAAACCTGCTGCCAATTAATTTCATTTGGTGGCCCCTAGTTCTTGTGTTATGAGAAGGAGTAAACAACACTTCCTTATTTACTTTCTACACAACAATCATGATTTTATAGACCTCTCTCATATCCCCCCTTAAACATCTCTTTTCCAAGCTGAAAAGTCTCAGTCTTTTTAATCTCTCCTCCTATGGAAGATATTCCATACCCCTAATAATTTTTGTTGCCCTTTTCCGAACCTTTTCCAATATATCTTTTTTGAGATGGGGCGATCACACGCAGTATTCAAGATGTGGGCGTACCATCGATTTATATAGAAGCAATATGATATTTTCTGTCTTATTATCTATCCCTTTCTTAATCATGCCCAATATTCTGTTCGTTTTTTTGACTGCCGCTGCACATTGAGTGTTTTCAGAGAACTATCCACAATGACTCCAAGATCTCTCTCTTGAGTGGTAACAACTAATTTAGACCCCATTATTTTATATGTATAGTTGGGATTATGTTTCCCAATGTGCATTAATCAACACTGAATTTCATCTGCCATTTTGTTGCCCAGTCACCCAGTTTTGTGTGATTCCTTGTAGTTCTTCACATTCTGCTTTGGACTTACAAAACTACTCAAGATAGTGATCATCTGCAAATTTTGCCACTTCACTGTTTACCTCCTTTTCCAGATCATTCATGAATATGTCGACTAGTACTGGTCCCAGTACAGACCCCTGGAGGACAAAACTATTTACCTCTCTCCATTCTGAAAACTGGTAAATTTGTTCCTACCCTTTGTTTCCTATCTTTTAACCTATTACCAATCCATGAGAGGATCTTCCCTCTTATCCCATGACAGCTTACTTTGCTTAAGAGCCTTTGGTGAGGGACCTTGTCAAAAACTTTCTGAAAATCTAAGTACACTATACCCACTGAATCCCCCTTGTCCACATGCTTGTTGACCCCCTCAAAGATTGGTGAGGCATGGTTTCCTTTTACAAAAACCATGTTGACTCTTCCCCAACAAATTATATTCATCTATGTGTCTGATAATTCTATTTTCTACTATAGTTTCAACCGGTTTGCCCAATATTGAAGTCAGGCTTACTAACCTGTAATTGCTTGGATCATCTCTGGAGCCCTTTTTAAAAATTGGTGTCATATTAGCTATCCTCCAGTCATTTGGTACAGAAGCTGATTTAAATGCTAGATTACAAACTACAGTTAGTAGTTCTGCAATTTCATATTTGAGTTCCATCAGAACTCTTGGGTGAATACCATCTGGTCCTGGTGACTTGTTACTCTTTAATTTATCAGTTGGTTCCAAAACCTCCTCTAATGACACCTCAGATCTGTCCAGAATTTACTGATTCTGGATTGGGCAAATCCCAAGCATCTGTTTTCAGTCTCCTTATTTATTGATTCACCAGATGGAAACATACTAGAAGGTCAGGATTTGGCCCACAAAGCAAATTTATTAGAGTATTTATACTATTCACATATAGCTCCCACAATTTACTGTGCTTGCTGTATACAGTAGGAGATAAACTATAAATTATATTGTAAAATTAGAAATACGTTTTTAGCTTTGAATGTTTCAATGTTTTGACATGAGGTCCTTCTATACCATTTGGAGCTGAAGACCGTGTAATTTATCTTTCAGAAAGTAAAACCCTCTTAGATTTCAAATAAGGTTTTGGATTTGATCTATGCCCACACTGGCATTACACTGTGTCTATTCCTAGTGTATATCCAACTCTGAAGGGACACCACTCTGGTAATCATTAAATTAAGAAACCACACACAGATTAACATTTTACAAGAGTGAACCTAATTTTACAATATGTATGTACCTAGAATAAAAGTTATACAAACAAAAATGGTATTTTAAATGTATCCTGCATAGGACAAAATAAAATACAGCAGAACAAACAGGGGGGTGAGGGTGGAGCTCACCTGAGGATGAGAACACAGGCTGCTACAAGTGAGTAAGCAAGAAGTGTACCAATAGACATCATATCCACCAGAGCCTTTAGGTCAAAAAGAAATGCCATTATAGCTAAAAAAAGAAGAAAGAAATACAGAATATGTATGAAAGTTATATATTGAGAGTTAAGATTTTTAAGGCAGCTCAAGAGGCTATGTATGGAGTTTTTATGTAGTTGACTTACAAACAGTAATACAAATGAAACCATGGTAATGCATAAAAATGAATTTTCAAAGTAAAGACCCACATTTTTAAACTTGGTTGCCTGGAGTTAGACACCTACCTCTGTATGTAGGCATTGAAATAAAATTGGTCTCTTTGCAGTAACCCTGAGCACCCACAGCTCTCAGTGTGGTTGCTCAGCACTTCCTGAGAGTCACATTTATTTGTGTACCTAAACAGGGATTTAGATGCCTACTAACTTTAGGCAACCAAGTTCACAAATTTTGGCCTACTTTTTTGTTTTCAAATATAAGACACCCGGAGAACATCTAGGAAACACTAATGAAAACCTTTCAGCCAAAATTCTCTATATACCTGCTATGTGATTTTTAATATAGTTATTTTGGACATTTATTTAGTTGTATAGTACACTGTCATGTAAAAATGTCATTTTCAGCTATGAAAACTGATATGTAACATAACCCTATGTGAAAATATTTCTCACTTAAAAATATAACACGTTATTTTTATTAAGGTATTGTAGGAAATTTTGGAGAATATTAATTATCAAAGAGCCAGATCCTGCAAGCGTGCTGTGCATAGAACTCCTACTCAAATTCCACAGGCTGAGGGCTTGCACAGTCAGAGCCTGAAACCACAAGCTTACAGTGGGATCCAATCTACTGACATGCATGTGGATCCAAGACAGACTGGATCAGGACCTTAATCTATAACCGGTACATGTAATGTGTATGTACTAGGCCCTAATTCAGCAAACCACTTGGGAACCTGCTTAAATCCCATTAAGCACATCCTTAAATGCTTTGCTGAATTGGCGCCTATAGACAAGAGTAAGTCAAGTTAAATGTAAATTCAGGTTGAATAAAATCTTAGTATTTTTCAGGTGCCTGCATGACTTTTTAATAAACAGCATTATTTTAAAAGTGGCTTATTTTACGCCTTCTCTGGCAAGGCAACTTCACTGTGACTTCCAATGTGTTTCTTGTTCTAGCCTTAGCCCCATCTAGATGGCATTGACTGTTTGCGTCCTCCTTCTCCTTTCCAGTTTGCTTGAAGCAGATCCTCAGAAACATCAGAGCTAACCAGATCCTTTTGTATGACATTCATCCATCTATTTTTGGGTCTTCTAATTCTCCTCTTACCCTCCACTTCTAAGTTTAACATCCTGTTTTCAATATATTCTTCCTATTATCTTTTTACATGCCCAAATCATCTACACCTTAGATTCTGTCAGCTGTTCTATAATTGATATCACCTTCAAATCTCTCCTAATTCATTTGTTCCAAATATGGTCCATCTTAATAACTCCAAGCATCCCTCTTAACATTTTCATTTCCCTTGTACTAAAAATCCTTCCTTCAACATCTCTTCCAGTGTCCAACATTCAGAGCCCTACAAAAATACAGGCCTAATTACCATCTTAAATATCTTACTTTTCAATTTGATAGGCTTCCTCCTATTGCAGATCATTCTGCTCAGTTCTCTCCAGGCCTTTCCTGTTCTGCTTATAAGTTCATCACTGAGTTCACCATTATCCTGTACTACCAAACCTAGGTACTTGAACTTCTGTACTTTTGGTAGTGGCTGGCCCTCCAGACTTTATAGATCCGTTGTCTTCCTGCAAGTTATCATTGAATGAACAGACCATATATTCTATTTCTGCTGATTTTCATGCCATTTCTTTTCAAGTATACATCTCTATCTCTCTAAATCTTCTTCCGCTTCCTCTTTGCTCCCTCCACAAGCACTTCATCATCTGCAAAAAGCATGCACCAGGGTGCCACTCTGGATGTTCTCAGTAAGTGCATTGAGCACCAACATGAACACAAAAGGGGCTTAGTCCAAGCCTTGATGTACTCCAACTCTTACTAGAAACTGTTCAGTTTCTCCAAGTGGCCTTCTGACTGCGATAATAGCACCCTTGTGCATGTCCTGGAGGAGTCTGATATAGTCTTCAGATATCGGTTTCATTCCCATACACCAGATGCCTTCTCTCGGAATGTGGTCATAAGCCTTCTCAAGACTGATGAATACTATGTGCAGGGTTTTCCTCTTTTCTCTATATTTTTACACCAGCAAAGATAGCATTCACTATTTTATTGACTTGCCTGGCATCAATCCAAAGTGACGGTCACTGATCTTCACTTCTCGTCATATTCACAATAAATAAATTGTGTGTGTATATGATAATGCATGCATTATTTTTATATTACATATATGTATGTGCGTGTATATATATAAAAAGCATACACTCTCCCACCGTCTTGATTTTATATATATCACACACACACACGTCTTTTTGATCATGAAGAAAAACAGAAAAGATTAATTCCCCAAAATAAGACTGCAATATTACCAAAATCTGCTAGGCTAATAACTAATCCAGGAATACAATTTCCTTAATGATCATGGAAGCACCCTACATTCACTAGTCTTGTGAACAGGGAGGTTTGTACAAAAACTATGAAGCATTCTGTGAGAAGATTTCTCATATATTTCACTGCCTAGGGTGCTCAGAGACAGCACTGACAGGCAAAGCAGAGGGACAGCAGAACGTGCATATGTTCATAAACCAAAATAAAGGAATTCGATTTAATTTTCATCCTTCCAGTCTTAAAGTGTTCCTGTACATTACAAGTCAATTTTATCATACTCTAGCTAATTATAGCATATGATTATGATATTTAAAATATCACAGCTTTTTACTTCGTATTTTTTTTAATTATAGCATTATTTGTGATCAACAAGATGCGTGACTTTATGGCCAAAAAACTTTTCAGAAATAATCTGCTTTTGAAGGTTAGCCACATTAGTATTTATACAGTACATTTCAAATTTCTGAATACACTATTAGTGGCAAGACAAAAAATAGTACATCTTTAATATTGTTAGCACCAATGAATGTAGGACATATATTCATTTTGGCAAGGTAAGTAAATATATTTATGTGAGCATAAGCTTTCGTGAGCTACAGCTCACTTCATCTGATGAAGTGAGCTGTAGCTCACGAAAGCTTATGCGCAAATAAATTGGTTAGTCTCTAAGGTGCCACAAGTACTCCTTTTCTTTTTGCGAATACAGACTAACACGGCTGTTACTCTGAAATATATTTATATTATCCAATGCAATCTCCATATTTCCCTTTCCCTTATATATGAGAAGCTTATGCAGAGTTTAAAGGATATTGAGCTTTGAAGCACACAAAGCATCCAGAAAAAGACAATTTCACTTTAAACAGTGTTAAAACTACCAAATATATGCTTGGAGAAAAATACTATCAAAATGGACACAAGCTTATAATTATTGTATTTCAAAATTTATATATATATATATAGTTCCATCAGATTAATTTTTTTCCCTTAGTAGATATAAAAATTGCAAACAACTATAAATCTTTTATATAATCGATGCTTACTCAACTTCTAATTATTACCTATCAGAAGAGAAGTCAAACCTATCACAAAATAGTTGGAAACTTTATTAATTCATTTTAGGTGCACATCCCACGTTGTTGCCATAAGTGCAAATACAATTCAGGGAGATATGCAGCACTACAAATCCAGGTAATACCTCTCATTAGCCTGCTGCCTTTGGTAAAATATGATTGGACTGTGAGCCAACCATTTTGTTGTCCGCAGAATTTCATTATCAGAATTATTATATAAGAAAAAGGACAAATACATATAATTATGTTTGGCCTCACCTGTAGTTTTGACTTGATAACATAGTAAAAGGTCAAAATCCAACCTTCTTAACACTGTTTAAAACTGTGAGACTATCCATGCTCAGATTTAGTAGGAATACCAGATTACTTTCATGCTGCATTCATCAGTTTTAACAGATCTAGTAAATTTAAGCCTACAAGTTACTAGATACACATTTTCTTAAAGAAAAAAGAAAAAAAAAGTTACCTGCTGTATCAAAAAACTTTGTTCTGTTGGATAAACCACCTGCCCACACAATTACACCCCCCAAACTGGCTTTGAATTTGAAGTGAGCTGTAGCTCACAAAAGCTTATGCTCAAATAAAAGTGTTAGTCTCTAAGGCGCCACAAGTCCTCCTGTTCTTTTTACGGACTAAAACGGCTGCTCCTCTGAAACCTGCTCTTGTGCTGCTGCAACCAAGACTGCATATTTCCACTCATCAGTTTACCCAACTGGGAAAAACATTTTTCCTTCTCTTCTTCTGCGTCGGTTCATAATTCCACCAAAATGAAAAATCACTTTTGATACCAGATTTCCACATTTTTCCAAAATATAGCAGAAAAAGGAGCTGGTGCAACATGAAAGCAATCTGGAAAGTCAGATTAAGTGTCTCTTTATAAAGAGTAATTCTCCATTATAGATTTGTACTGTGACATAAAAAAAAGACAAATTAAGGCCATTTTTTAGATTATGAACTATTTGGGGCATGACCAGGGCTTCCTTTATGTTTGTAAAGCTCTTCAAACAAAAGGGTCCTGACTATGGCTTGTAGATGCGACAGTATGATAAATAATAAATAAATGTTTTAGTCTTATCTGAATCTCTTGGTCTTTATCATCTGGAGCCAGCCTACCCTCACTTTTCCATGCAAAGCTGACATTACACTGAAATCAGTACGGTATAATTTGTGTTCCAGGTACATTAAGCAATACAAGAGATATGCATTTTGACAACAATGAAAGAGTTTAAAAAAGAAATAAATAAATCTCCACTTCGAAGTTTAGGAATTTGCACACTAAATGGTAACAGCTCCTGGAAATGTTGCTTTGATGCATTCTGTATGTGTGTACATAAACACATACATAATGATCCTAGTAAAATATCTGTACTAAAAATAGATTAGTGCCCTTTATGGGCAAAGAATGTGTAAAATTTCCTCTTTTTAAAAACCATTTTGTAGTTGCCATACTGAAGATCATTCATAATTTTATTTCTTTTTTTTACCCCATAACAAAAACACATTCCCCCCTAGTATTTCTAAACAATTAAATACATTATTCTTGAACTAAAATTTCCTATACCCAAACCTCACAACAGAGCATAGTCCAATGGCTGAGTTATAAAGACAGTTTTATTCCAGATGCCCCAAAGTAAATAACTTTTTGTCTGTAATGCAAAAGAAGCCAAACTTAGAAAGCACAAAAAGTTGCGAGTTCATTGACATCAAGGACATCACCGCCACCACGATTGCCATGATTTGGAATTCTTATGCCCTTCAATTAGTCAGCAATTTTATTCCCAACTTACATGCATGAGAAGTTAACAAGCAGTCCCTTCTTATAATCCATGCACGTGCATACAAGGTTCAAATCCCAGTTTGAAGAAACCTATGTTTTCAGAGCTTACCAGAGATGACCCCTGCTGTCAATGTGGCAGCAACTGGTGTCTGCCTCTTACTCACTTTGGCAAGAAACCTAAACAGTAAACCATCTCGTGCCATGGCAAACAGAATTCGGGGCAGAGGGAACATAGAGCCGAGAAGACTAGAACAGAAAAATTTAAAGTTCAAATACACATAATTAAAAGCATTGTAGTCTACTGGTAAAGTCAACTAAAACGGGAAGCTAGGAAAAGCTTATTTTCATGTTGTTTTGTTCTTTTGAACCTGTGCTTCCAAAGCACTTGAGATTACATAAATAAATAAATAAATAAATAAATAAAGTCTGTGGTAGGAAAATGGTTATTTTACCTTGAGACAATCATATTTTATGCTTTCAGTCAAAAGCAAACCAAAACTTGCCTGACAGTATTGGATTTCCACACACGCAATGCGTGAAGCAGTGCACCTTTCCCTACAATAATCAACTCTCAGTCTCACCTGCTACTGCACCCGATGACAAAGTAGCAATAACTGGAGTCTTCGTTTTGGAATTGATTTGAGCTAGACATTTGAAAAGCAACCCATCTTCCGCCATAGCATAGATTACACGTGGCATTGGGAAAATGGATCCAAGAAGACTGAGTAAAAAGCAAACACATGCAACATGGCAAAACACAATTCATGCAAGGTTATATCATAGAAAAGAGAAACAATGCTAATTAATGGCATGTTTCACTGAAAACAAAATTTATGATGGTAAAAATATTTATAGACCAAAGATACTACAGTTTGGACACAAATAAATTTATTTTGTTTCTGAAAACCACTAGAAGTTTTGTTCACAATTCTGTGGTAATGCAATTGCTCCATTGGAAACAGTAGTAAAATAGCTAAATAACTTTTGCCATCACTGTAGATCTTGGGATACTAGTGAACCAGGAGCATGGCCCTGGTTAACACTAGCTATGCAATTAAGCATTATTGTTCCTTGAAAGATTCTGTAAGTCAGCAACAGTGAATCACACAAGCAGTAACACCTCACACATTCTGCAGCTCCTTATGACAATGTTAATCAATAGTAACTCAAAGTAAGCGCCACACAGTTTACACTTAACCCTATTATTTCTTTCAATTAAAGCACCCATAGCCAAGCTAATTTATTATTCCTGGTTTTATTTAGGAACTGAAGGTAAACTATTTTAAACTGTTGATATTTGCAGAATTTGAAAAGCATTTTGAACTACAGATGACTCAAAGCTCCTTCTCTATTTAAAATATTTAAAATTTGTCAGGTTTCTTCCTTTCACATCAAAATTACCATACTAACAACCCCCCGCCCAAACAAACAAACAAAAAACCCACACAGTATAGCCTCTGTAACAGCCATATAACTTCTTAGCAAGCTGAAACTGAGGTTTTACTATACAGCCAGGTTGCCTTTCTTGCTACAGAGAACTGAATACATCACCTACATATATTTAGTGGGTGTGCAGCTTTTATGTTCCACAGAAGCTAAGCCACTTTAGCACTGATTGTGAAAAGTAGCATTAAAATTAAATTCATGTGCAACACTACCAATCATTCATACTTTAACTGGTTTTGGTGCTGATTCAGGAAACCACTTACGTACCTACTTAAAGTTAGCATGTGCTTAAGTGCCCTTGCCCAATAAAGATGCTTTCGTGAATCAGGGCCAAGAAATCTGAACTTGAAGAATTAGTAATATTTCCATACTGGTATCACCAAAACCTCTACATATTTTTATTGTTGTGTCTGTGTAGAAGTTAATTATGCTTCTTGTCATCTTCAGACTGCATTCTGGTAAATAATGGAAATATATAAATACTGTAAAAATTTTAATCTCAAATGACATGGCCCAGGAATAGGTAAGCGTTCGGATCAAAGCAATACTCCCAACATATCAGCCTACAACACTGCCAAGTAAAGGAATTAAAAGTAAAAGGTTTTTTTAAAATTAAATTAATTTAAATTAATTTAAAAAATAATTTAATATTTCATTAAAGTAAGATATTACCTCTCTCAGAATAAACTCGGGTGTTAAAAACTTTAAAATACTTTGGAAGAAAAATTAGGAGATCAATAGTTATAATTTGGTAATCAATGGTTTTACTTTCTATGTAAAGTTTTCTTCTCCGTTGCTTTTTTCTTTGCTCTAGTTTCTATTTAAACATTTGCTTTTATATTTTATGGAAGACAAATATTATAAAAATCATAAAACTGCTAGAGTCCACTTCAGGCATTACTATAGAAAATTATAATCCCAAAACTAACTGTACAAACACAACTTAGTTTACATACACAGGCCTAAAATTCTTTTAGCTTGTCATTTAGAGCTCTTTCCTTTTTTATAATCTCCCACCCCAGAGTCTTTCACTTGATTATTTTCCACAATCATTATGCTTATCTTCTATACATGACTACTCATGGACTATCTCAGTGACATCAACAGTACTCCTTAAATAGGCAAGCCTGCTTCTTTTTTAGGCCAGCTGTTGAACTCATACATCTCCCACTTCTTGAGGCCATTTAAACCACTTTAGTAACATACATGAGCTCAGTTAGCAGAAAAGGAGACTATTAAGGCTGTTCCTAAATGTAAGTATGAAGACTACTCTATTCTAATAGGTTCTTATACCACGTTACATGTGGGCTATAATATATAGGAAGATGCATGTACTGTATATATTAATACATCTCACAATCTAGTCAACTCTTCCAAATAAAATAATATATTTGGTCACACTTTATATTAAGATTACATTTAAAGTTTGCCAATGCTTAATTATTGATAGATGTTTTCATCAATTGTTACAGAGTCCAACAGGTTGTTTACAATTATGACTTACAATCACTTACTACTCATGTAGTAACATGCTTATAATATTTATTAAATGTTAAACCTTAAGAAAATGTACCCTCAATATAAAAAGTGTGACCATACATTGAAATATATTGTATTTTTCAATTATCTTATTTCCCAATAAAATTAGTAGTTTTTTCTTCTTTACCTTGTAGACAAAGCACAGAGTGATCCCACTGCTACAACATACTTTGCAGGACCCCATCCAACATATTCAAAGGCTACAGGAAGAGGACTTTTCTCATCTAGAAGATAGTATGGCATCATAAGAGTCAAAGCTGCCGAAACACCAAAATAGGCCATAAAACAGACAAGCAGGGAAGTCACAATTCCAATGGGTATAGCTTTCTGAGGATTCCTGACTTCTTCCCCTAAGGAGGAAAAACAAACATTCTTACTCATCTAGGAAAATGTTTGCATCTTCTACTTTAATGTGCATTAACACACAGAAAAAGGTAAGTTTTGCAGTCTAAATATTAAGAATAATAGCTTTAATATTCCATATAGAGTAAAATCAATGATACAGTATGTAACCCAGGACTTTGTGGCCAGACATAGCACAAAAAATTAAGTTAAGCAAAATGACATTATATACGGAATTGTATCTATCTATCTATCTATAATTGCATCTATGTCATATATATAAATAACATTTATATTTTACTTTAGAGAGGCCAAAATCTATAATTTTGCACTTATCAATACAATTAGTCTTTGGAAAGTTGCTCTGAAATGTCCCTAGCCTCTGTTTGCTAGAAGCTGGGAATGGGCAACAGGAGATGGATCACTTGATGATTACCTGTTCTGTTCATGGCGAGATGGACCATTGGTCTGACACAGTATGGCTGTTCTTATGTTCTCTGCGAACTGCCTGTACCCTACCTTCCCCGAGGATAAGTAAGTTGTTGATCTTTTACTGTGTTGAGCTTCATAAGTATTAATTGCACATTAGTCTAAAAGAAGTTCTAAGGAATATGCGGCCTCTGAGTTTGTTTTTTCTAAAGCTACAATGAAGAATGTTTAAAAAAAAAAAGGCAAGATGCCTGCCATATGGGCTTAGCAGAAAGAGCTTGTGCTGATCAGTTCCCACATTCTGCCATTGCCATTGTAGCTAACTGCAGGCAAAGAGAAATTTATTCACACTGTAATTTTGTTTTTCTGTGGAATGAGAAAGCCACATTCAGGAGTGATCTCAGTCTCTTTCTAGATATGGTGATAGAGTTTAAGAGCAGAGATAGACAGACCGATACAGAGGCAGACAGGGAAGAAGACTAGGATATATATAATTACACAGTTTGACCACTAACTGTTTACTTCAAATATATATATATATATATAGAGAGAGAGAGAGAGAGAGAGAGAGAGAGAGAGAGAGAAAAACCCCATCTTACCAGTTGTTGCAATGCAATCAAATCCCACAAAGGCATAAAAACATGTTGCAGCACCAGCCAATGTTCCTGTAAAACCATATGGCATAAAACCACCGGCCCCAAACATGCTTGTCACGTTCTTATAGGAAGAATAATTTCTATAGAAAATTGAAATACAACAGAAAAAAGGCATTTTTAATTTGCGACAGAAGAAATCTAATAGTTTTTTATCACCAGTAACTCTACATGAACACTTTTAAAATGCAGAATAGTCTCAAGATAAGGATCTTTTTACAAAGCTCTCAGTACAAAATACCTTTGTATGATGTTTGAGATAAAGATCTTCTATCACCAAAAATTCATTAACAACAGAAAAAACTGGATTATCAAATAAACACTACAAATCCTGGTCCTGCTCTCATTGGAACTAATGGCAAAACACCCACTGACTTTAATGGCACAGGATCAGGTCCAATATCTTGTTGTTAATCACATCCCGTACTGCAGTTAAATAGCTATCTTTAGAAATATACACTGATAGCTTCCCAGGTGGCTAAGCCTGAGATTACTAAAAGGCAAAAAAGTAATTAGTATAAAATTTAATTCTGTTTCAGGACACAAGTCTACATTTCCCAACAAAACAGTAAATCTAAACCTGTTGCTACAATGCATAGGCTACCAGAGATGCATGTACACCAGGAGCTGTCATCAGAGGCTGCTTAAAGTAGGAACAAGAAAAATGGAAGAAAATTGACAGATGAAAAGGAAAAAAAACAATTACCCTGTCTGTGCTGTGAGGTTTATGAGAGATTCTTCACTTATTTTCCAGTTGTCAGCTTCTCCTTTCACAAAACCAGAAATCATAACAAAGAGGAGAACCAAGATGTTAACAGCAGTGAAGATCTTATTCACCCATGCAGATTCTTTTACTCCAAAAGACAGAAGACCTATGAAATACAAGAGGGGATTTTAAAGAATTAACATCTCCTTTAGGAAGTAAAATAGCATCTTTAACAATGTATACATGCTAACGTTACTAATTTAAGTATTTAGTTAATGATACTAGATCTATAGCTTTTAGGTGTTAGTACTAGGTTAATGAGCACTTCAATACTATGATAGACACTGTATAAAAACTGTAAAATGGAGACTATTTTTAATCCTCTCTCTCTCCAAAGGCTGATGACTGTCTTCTTGACTGACATTAATTCCATTTCTAATCCAGCAGGCAAAAAATATATATGGGAAGTGTAGCTTACTTCGTTCCTGTGCCCCCAGTCCATACTTCTATTTGGGATAAAGGAACTTCTAGGCTTAATAAAACTAACATAAACATTAGTAAACTCCTGAATTCAAAAATGCACATTCATGACTAAACTCTTGAAATGATCAGTCTATTAAAAATTACATTTGCTTTTACACACACACACACACACACACACGAAACACACTTATCAGATTTAATTCTTCTTCCATGAAAGTGTAGGATATAGTCTTGCTAGCATGTGTGTGAGTTAGCAAAAAAGAGAGGCATTCTCTCTGTCCGTAATTATTTGAATTCTCTGTCTACAGTACACATGGTTCAGGAACTGGCACCATGCTGACTTTTAGATTCTCATGTAGAATAGTAAAAAAAAATTAAATTTAGAATTTTTGATTTAAAAAAGTCAAACGTTTTAAATGCATGTTTTTTCTTCCATGTTTTGACCAGTTCTAATCTAATGTTATCAATGCACATCCCAGAGCTGTCCCTAATTCCTAGAATAATGGGGCCATCCAGTAGGTGAGTGGTTTTCAACCTTTTTTTCATTTGTGGACCCCTAAAACATTTTGAATGGAGGTGCGGACTCCTTTGGAAATCTTAGACATAGTCTGCAGACCCCCAGGTATCCATGGGCCACAGGCTGAAAACTACTGATACAGATTATTAAAATAATTAAAGGACAAGCATCTATTTAGCTCCTAAACAACTTTGATTTAGAGAGTTTCTTGATCTTTTGTATTCTTGTGCAAATCAGGATATAAAATAAATGTATTTCTACATAGCAGACTACTTTATTTGCACAATCTGAACATTTTCCAAGGGAGACCCTGCTGTGAAGTTAGACGGGAGACAGTTGAAGCCTGGTCTGTAGTTTAGCAGAATACAAGATGACAAATTGGGATGGGGAAACATGAAATACAGTAGAAAAATCTCACACCATTTCTCTGTGAAAAAAAGTATTTCCAATAATGCCACACCTATATGCTTCCCCTCATTATTTAGAGATTAATTCTGAAAATTTTAAGCCTATCAAGATAATGTCTAAATAAAATTTCTGATTCTGTTAATGCAACATAAGACACATTCTCAGAAACTATGGAATTATCATAAGAGCTACTCAAGTTTTCTTTGTTGGTGGTATTTTTATTGGCAGAAGAAGTAAATTGTTTTGTAGACCTTTAAATCTCCCTCTTACCCCAACCCTCCTAGAAAGGAGTTTCTCAATGGACCTAAAATGATATGAAATCCAGCATGCAAAATGTCTTAAAAATGAATCTCCATCTGTAGAAAGAAAACATGAAGGAACAGGTTTCCATGGACTATTCATTTGGAAAATAAAAATAAAAATGTGTGAGTGGGGATCTTCACAAACTTCTCCTGCTCCCACTGAAGGCCATTCTCACCAATAGGAGACCTGGGCAATTGTCTAGTGTGCTATAAAGTAGAGTGTGATATTCTCCATGAAACACCTGTCACTTTGACACTCCCAGTGCTGTAGCTTTGCTTAGCACTGAAACCAGTGCGCTGTGTCTGGCACTACCCGAACTGCAGGACACCCCCGATTCGACTCTTCCTCCTCCTCTCTCACTGGCAGAGATCTGCAAAGTTATTTTATGGCTGGTTCAGCTGTACTGGGGAAAGTGACTTGAGGGCAGAAGAGGAAACGAATGGAGAGGGAAAGGGAAGGAGAGAAGTGATGTCTTAAACAAGGAGAATGACAACAGGGTTTGGAAGAACAGAAAACACAGAGAGAGAACACAAATGAAAAGGGGACTAGACAGAAAGAAAAACAATGGTCTGGCAGCTACTACCTAAATTTAAGAAGCAATGCTTTCTGATTGATTGACAACAACTGGGGAGGCCCACTTCAGATAAAGAATGGTAAGACAACAGAAGAAAATATAGATAAGTGGAAAAATTAAAAAAATAAAACAAAAAATCCAGGCATCATTCTTTTCATCTTTGAAACTCTCTCAAATTAAAGACTTTTCCAGAATTTGTCTTTCTCTGCAGCAGATGGCCATCATCCAAGTTAGGATTATTATTGCTACTAATTAAGTTTCTTCTCTTTCCATTTCTCAAACGCTCTTGTCTTCCCCATTTCAGGCTCAATCAGTTGTACTGATTGATTTCCACTGCACTCCCTAAGATGCTAAAATGACCAATTAAAAAAAAATGGATTCTAGAAATTTTTCCCTACCAGAGCCATCAAATCTGGGACAGCCAACTGCCAGCAGCTGGAACTGTACATGTATTAAAAGGGAGCCCAAATTTCTTGTCTTTTTGAGAGTTTTTTGACCACAAGACAGCCCTGATTCTCACTACTAAGGTTCACTAGATGAACAATTCCTAGAAGATGGAAGGAAGGAGGAAGCTATCCAATACTGTCACAAACTGTGTAAACATAAAATTGGTATTCTCGACATTTTTAGCTCTTACAAACAATGTGATTTTGCTTTTTCCTGTTACTCTGGATAATAAAAAGGCAGATAATATTTTATCTACCAGGGTTAAAGGTCTGGAATTATTACTCCAGACTTCTCGTTAGATTTTTTTTTAATATGGTTGTCTTTTTTTCCCCCTCCCTCTTCCCCTGCCCCTTCTTCTTCATCATCTTCTTCCTCTTCCAGGACCCAAACTGTAATCTTTCCTCCAGGCCATACTCCTTTGGCAATGTCTTAGTAAGAGAATAAAAACTGAACTGTAAATGCAACTGTCTGATTTCCATTCCGTAGAGCAGCAGCCAGGATGGCTAGTGTCTGCTCAGAAGGGAAAAGTAGCCCTTTTGCTAGTGGCCACAGAGTACTGCCTAAGCATTCTCTAGCAGTTCTCTTCTCAGCAGCAGCATGCATGTCTTTTGAACCAATTCAATCACCCGAATATAACATAGCTCAAAAGAATGAAATCTGATAGGGGGATTTTGAGCATGCTAAGTGGGCTTCAGTGTCTAAATGAAGTTCTTGGCTATTCCCTAACAGAAATTCAACTGGAAAAGAATTTTCATGAGACTGTACCAATTGTAACAACTAATTTGAAACAAAAAGAGATGCATATAATTTTAAAAATAGGTTATTAGCTTGTTAAATCTACAGAAATTCACTGTACACAACTGGCAACAAGAGGTACCGGTAGTTGAGTGGGAAGAAATAACCTTATGATTTAGTGTTCTGTAAATACTCATCTTTATTTATTTCCTCAGCTTCATTGTCAGACCAAACCTCTGTTTTCTTCCTAATGACCAAATTTCATTTTAAATTTGCAAAGAAAATTACTCCTATAAAATGTATATACAAAGAAAAGGGGGAATTTCTTAGGGCCAGGTGATCTAAATAGTAAATGTGCCAATAAATGGCTAAATGACACTTAATGATATTCAGACAATGATTGTCATCCTATTACCTCCATTGCAGTCTGACTCCATAATGCTGCAATTCCAATAACTGCTGATAATGTTAGTAATTCACAATCAAAGAAAAAACATTTACAAGACTCATAGGATTGTGCACTCAAAATTATTGCTGCTTGAAAATTAGTCCCAATTAGTTTCCAAAGTGAAACTATCCTTTTCTCAGGGCTCTGATTCATTTTTTGCTGCTTGCTTATGGCAGAGGCAAATATGCTGCTGTTCACTTTTGTCAACAACCTCACAAACTTCTGGGTAAAATTTCCAAAAATACTTAACTGATTTAGGAGACAAAGCTCAGTGAGACTTAAGCTTCTAAGTGCCTAAGTCTCTGTTGAAAACAGGACGTAGGCACTTTTGAAAATGTTATCTTCTGCCATCTTTTATTAAAAGTAAATAATGAATAAAACAGAGCGCATTAATGCATCAAAAATGCATGTTTACCCACATAAGCAAAATCCTGACATTACTGTAACCTTTATCCTCTCTTCCCTCTACATTATTCTTATTTTTTTAGGCCTGGTCTACATGAGAAAGTTTCACCAGTCATGCCACCCTGTGCAGACACTCTTATTCTAGTCTGAGAATAAAAGTGTCCTCACTGGGGATTATAGCAATTTTATAACTTTATAACCAATTTATAGTCTAACTTTCCTGTGGAGACAAGCTCTTAGTTGATTGGTTGGGTCAGGTATCTATTTCGACTGGTAACTCTTCAGGGCATGGGCTGAGTCATCTATCTATCAAGTATCTAGCATTCTTTTGATGCAAATAAATAATAACAAATACTACCATTCTAAATATGCATACTGTTTCATATTCTGCATCACCAAAACATGAGTGACTTTTACTTATGCAGAACAGCCACTCTGAATGTAAAAACTAGCCGTGTTTATTTTCATTTCTGAGGGAACCAGATCCCCATGGAAACAAACTATGGTTAATAGTTTAGTTGTCTGGTGCCAGTGGCTGGGATTTCCTATTGTAAAGTGATGCATTAGTAAAGATGTAATCGAAATAAAATTATTTATTGTTGTCAAAAGCAAAAATCCAGTTAATTTTACCAAAGCTCACTGTTATCAAGGAGTATTGGAAAATAAAGTAGTAACCGAACAGCATACAGAAACAACCTATCCATTCTGCACGCTCAGAGTGCTGAAGGTTCACATTGGATGGATGGATGGACTGTGCTTGTGTCTTGGAGTTGCCTATTAGCTGACACAAATTCTAGCCTGTATAATTCTTTTGAAGACTGGAAGTGGGAAAAAGTTAAGTTGTACTAAGGAAATAGCTTGTGAGGAAAGGATTAAATGAAAAGTTAAGTCAAATATCCACCAAGAAACAATGCTTGGTTTGTGGGCAGTACATTATAACATTGAATCACAAAGTTTAAGATTGTGATATTGCTGAAAATATCCACTGCCTTTAGAGCAACCAAAAAGAAAAAATACAAATGCTGTCTAACTATTCTTTTATTGTCCTTTCTACATTATGGATTTTACACAAAAGCTCTCATAGCTGATTACCTCATGACTTAGATAAAGTTAAAAAAATGTGTGTATATATTTGCTTCTGATTTATAGAGCCACTATATCAATGCTCTCTATGCATTTATATTTCTCTAAAATATAAACAGTATCTTGATAAGAGAAAACATTAGAACTATAATTCATCCTTTTTTATTGCTTGTATAAAGATAGTCGCAGAATCTGTTCCCTGCCTCCAATACATTCTCTATTATTAGTCACCATGACATTCCTAACGTAAAGAGATTTCTATTTCTTACCTGCCAGAAGCAATATCAGACATACTGCAAAAAAGTCTGGATACTCTGCTAGACCAGAAAAATCCATTCTGAAGTAGGTTCTGAAAAACTGACCAATTTGTTTTCCAAGAAGTTCATCAAAGGTGCCACTCCACGCTCTTGCAACACTGGATGTACCTTCATAAAATACCCCCCAAAAAATAGGATTTTGTACAAACACGATCATAAAACAGTTAGTACTATAGAAAGAACATGTTGCTATTTGTATTTAGAAAGATACAATTATTGTTAAACAAGTGGGCTTTTTCTCCATAGATTTTATTATAGCAATTCATACCTACAAAATTATAGTATAATATATTAAGCTACAGTAACCATATCTCAATTTACTGCATTAGAAAAGTTCAAGTAAACTCTTCTATAATAGCTAACTTTGATAGCATAATAATCAATAATAATTTTTCATTTAGAGTACTTTTCATTATATTAGTTCATTATATTATACTTTTATTTTATCCCAAAACATTCTGCAAATTTCAACTGATATAAAATTAACTTCCCTCCTTGCTAGAGTGCAGCCACTTATAAGGTGAAACACGATATGTCTTTAGCAATGCACAGTAATACCACACAACAGTTTAGGACAGGAGGTGAAGAATAGTTTTTCCAGCTGGAATTACAGAAGTTTTATTAGGCAGAATGAAATTGCCGGAGTTTGAATTTACCCAGCATGCAAAGGTTAATCCCCAACCCTTGAAAAAACGCTACAGAACCACAAGCAATCAAGACCACATTTTTCTATCAATCTCAAAAAGCAACATCCCCATCAGCAGAGTGTCCCCTAATACAATACTTGGATGTACTGGGTGAGTTGTGACATAAGCCATGGTCTTGCAATTGAACCTGCACATGTGGATATGTGCACCCACACAGTACATCATTAACTTAATTGACTCTTAATTGACTCTGTGCAGTTGCACGATCACTTTGTTTTGGAAGGAAGCATGATACTTGAGTCACAAATATCACTTCTTCCCTTCTTCCTGACTTACCAAGGTGTCTCTCTGAATCTCTCCCATCCAAACACTGACATTTCCTAGTTCCAACTAGATTCATATACAATGGGCTATCAGCCCAAAGCTGGTATGTCTGCAGGACACTACATCATTGATGGAGTTACATCAATTGATACTATATTTCATGACTTGTTTTCAAGTGTAGTTCTACACTGATGGCACCGTCTCTAGATCTACTTCCTGTTTGTATCCAGAGACATTTACACTTACTGCTTTTACTCCAACTAGCACTGCAGAGCCAACACAGCAATGAGAACTGAATTAGATTCTATTTCTTCTTTTGCATCATCAACAGAATTGTTTGCCACTATTTTCCAATTAGGTACACTTACTTAAGCTGTTGAAGAGAACGGATTTGCAAAGACATCACAAAGTACCTATTTTGGCTTGAAGAAACTTTATTACAGGGGATGATGCATGAGAGGGAAATAACCCAGCTTGACTATCAGATACCAGGGTGTGTATGAAGTAGTAGCAGTTAAGAAAAAAGAAAGAAAGAGCCCAAACCTAAATTTTATTTTTAGTTTTCCCAGTCACCCCGTCAGCTTTACACTGGTCTCCCAAACTTACCTATAACGTATGATAAAATGAGATTCCAGCCAGTGATAAAAGCCCACAGTTCACCAACAGTTACGTAAGTATACAAATATGCAGAACCAGTCTTGGGAACACGAGCACCAAACTCAGCATAGCAAAGACCTGCCATCACAGATGCCAAGGCAGCAATGAGGAAAGAAATAACAATACTAGGTCCAGAATCTGCTTTTGCGACTTCTCCAGCAAGTACGTAAACACCAGCACCAAGAGTGCTTCCCACTCCCAGAGCTATAAGGTCCACAGTGGATAAACATCGGCATAACTTGGAATCTTCAAGACTGTCCACAGAGACAATTTTTCTTCGCAACAGACACCGAACAAATGACAGAACTGGTCCACAGGGTATCATTTTGGATGAGGAACTAGAAATATAAAATAGGTCATTAAAAAACATAGAAGGTATAATATAAACGAACAGTCACAATTTAACCTTCCAAAAGTCACTTTACTGATGGATAATAAATTTTGCATTTAAACAAAATTGTGGGTCATTAGCAATAAATAGTTTATACAGAAATGTCTCCCTACCACCTCTTTTCATTGCTTTGTTAGACTCCGTTTACTTTCTGACTTAGCTGACTGACTGGAAATGTAAAATATACTATATGACAACTGATTGTGATTACAGTTTAAAAAAAACTCGAAGATGAGAGTCTGCAAGCTAATAAAAACACTTTAGAAAGATTCTGTGGTGACACACAAAAGATACTACAGGCGGTTGGGTATCTAAAGACAAGGAGAAAGATGGTTAAAGAAATATGAATTGTCTGAATGTGACTCAACACACCTCCTTACAAGACACGATCACATTCATGCATGTATCCTGTTCCATGAAAGTAAACAGAATTACAGTGATTTCTCAATAAAACAGAAGAGATAGCAAACTTACCCCACTTTTGTTTTCAGCTTACACACTCTTTTCAGAAAATTTCCATCATATTTAAAACTTAACATATGGTAAAACAAGAACAAATAACGTAATTTTATTATTGATGGCTTGCCCTCAACCTTCCCTACAACAGAACCAAAGCGGACAGCTACTACCATATCATACAACCTGTAAGCTGCTTTACCAATGACATAATTAGGAGAAGGAGCAGCACCAATATACCTAAGGATTTTGTATTTTCAGATTCCAAATAGAACTCTTTTATAAAAACTATTTTGATGGAGCCAGAGCAATGCATGATTAGATTCATACCACATGGAATTTGCTTTTAGAGTTCTCTTTAGTGAAAGCGGTTTAATGTCAATTTTTGGAAGGCTTGTTTCTCTCCCTTCTTCTATCAACAGCATCCCAAAAAGTAATTAATTCTGGAATATGACCAAAGAATTTAACCTTGTAATTATCTAAAGAAGATTTAAAAAACACAATAAAAATGTTCATTTACCATATAGTAACTGTGCTTCTTCAAGATGTTGTGGTCAGATCACACTGCAGGTTTGCGTGCACGAGATTGGATTGTTTTGAATAGCAATGTCCGTTGGTGCCATGCACCTGCCCTGTCCTCCTCATGCTCCTGTGCCTGGACATTAAAGGTGGAGCAGCTCCAAGCCTCCCTCCATTCCCTCACAATTCAAAGTCCTTGTTGCTGAGAACTCCAAAAACAGAAAAGTGCAGGTTGTGGGGATCTCAAAAACCAGTTACTGTAGGGTATATAGCCATTCTCTCTACAAGAACATGTCAATGTGGATCTCACTACAAGTAACTGGAAGGCTGTATCCCCTCAGGATGGTGGGAACAAGGTGCATCAGTTAAATACTGGTTGTAGTTTGGTATCCTGAATTTGACATCTGCTCTACCCAGGAGTGTCAGAACCCTGGTAGAAGTGGGAGTGCCATGAGGTCCTGCCCCCTGCTCCTCTCATCCCCCCGAGGCCTTGCCCCCGAGCCAGGCAGGAAGCCAGAGCTAGGCCGTGTTAAGACCTTCCACCTGCCATGGGCAGGGGGCCAAGGGGCCCAAGAGCAGTCCATAGCCAGTGTCCCCTCCCCAGGGCAGGTGGAGGTCCAGGGCTCCCCACAGTGGCCTGTGCTTCCTGGGCAGCTCTTACACCCAGCTCCAAATTCCAGCCTGGCCAGGGAGTGGGGCCTCCTGGGGAAGAGGTGCAACAGGGGCGGGGCCACAGAGAGGGGCTGGGCCTTGTGGCGAAGGGGGTTAACGCCCACCTTAGCTCACCCCACCGGGAAGAGGTTGGTACTGATGGCAGGAGCTGTGCTTCACGGTGTGAAAGCTGATCACCTTATCACCGCTCCACGCCTGCCCAAGGCTTACAGCTTGGGGGGCAATGCAGCCCCCTGCCCGAAACTACACCCATGTTTAAAAGTGGGTGAGCATGGCCCCTCTGGCTTCTCCAGTTCCAGCACCCCTGGCTTTACCCACTAAGTCCAGTGCATAATGCTTGATAAAGGTCAGTGGATTACTCCATGTTGCTGCCTGGCAGCTCTCAGAAATTGGCACATTTCTGAAGGAGGCAGAGGATGTTGTTGAATGGGAAAGGTACAGCAGAGTTCAAGCAGCAAGACTCAGCAACCAGCTGGTAAGTTGGCAAGAGACACTGTGATATCAATTTTGGTATCCTCTGCAAGGAGAAGGCTTGACCTTTAGAATGCCTGGATGTGGCTATAAACAGATGGGATGATGGTTTTTGGCAATGTAATAAAGCAGCATCCTGGGCATATGTAGTGTGTGTAATTTCTTTACTTCCTGTGCCAAATGTGGCTTCAGGAAGAAAACTGGCAGGCTGGTCGACTGATTTAGATGAAATTCTGAGACCCCCTTAGGAATGAATGTCAGGTGAGGTATCAGCACTTCCTTGTCCCTATGGAATGTAATATAGGGGGTTCAGCTACCAACTTCCAAAACTCACTCTCCCTCCTGGGTGAAGGGATCTTTGTGCAATACCATTGAGAAGGAATACACCAGCATTCAGAAGGAGGAATATATCTCCTCATTGAAGGGCAGTGCCGAGGGATGTATGGAGCTGGTACCGGCTGCTTCTTTGGTACCCAGGACATCTCCAGACACTGCTATTCCAAAAAAATCCAATCTTGTGCACATGAGATGCATGTGAGCCCATGATCGAATCCACACTAACATATACTCAAATGAACAAATGTACATTTATAAAAAACGTTGCAACCCAATTGATTGTAAATTGTTTTGCAAACTAATTACAGTATATACGTCCATCATTGCATCCACCACTGAAAGGAAGTTATATGTGGGACAGTAAACAAACGCTGTTTAACAGCATATAGCAACAAAAGTATAGGATAGAAGTGAAGACATTAGGCAAAGCATGGTAGGGAGAATACACTTGCTCCAGTTGAAGTTTGGCCTTCACATTGAAACTAACACCCGCAATCACATGAAAAGTGCCAAAGAAGCTCTAGTGACCATTCGCCACAAGTAGTCAGAAGCTTGGTTTTAAGTGTTATTGTCAAGGTTCCTTCCCCACTCTGAACTCTAGGGTACAGATGTGGGGACCTGCATGAAAACCTCCTAAGCTTACTTTTACCAGCTTAGGTTAAAACTTCCCCAATGTACAAATTAATTTTACCCTTTGCCCTTGGAATTTCCACTGCCACCACCAAACTTTTACTGGGTTTACTGGGAAACGTAGTTTGGACATGTCTTTCCCCCCAAAATCCTCCCAACCCTTGCACCCCACTTCCTGGGGAAGGTTTGGTAAAAATCCTCACCAATTTGCATAGGTGACCACAGACCCAAACCCTTGGATCTGAGAACAATGAAAAAGCATTCCGTTTTCTTACAAGAAGACTTTTAATAGAAGTAAAGGAATCACCTCTGTAAAATCAGGATGGTAGATACCTTACAGGATAATTAGATTCAAAACATAGAGAATCCCTCTAGGCAAAACCTTAAGTTACAAAAAAGACACACAGACAGGGATAGTCATTCTATTTAGCACAGTTCTTTTCTCAGCCATTTAAAGAAATCATAATCTAACACATACCTAGCTAGATTACTTTCTAAAAGTTCTAAGACTCTATTCCTGGTCTATCCCCTGCAAAAGCAGCATCCAGACAGACACAGACCCTTTGTTTCTCTCCTTCCTCCCAGCTTTTGAAAGTATCTTATCTCCTCATTGGTCATTTTGGTCAGGTGCCAGCGAGGTTACCTTTAGCTTCTTAACCCTTTACAGGTGAGAGGATTTTTCCTCTGGCCAGGAGGGATTTTAAAGGGGTTTACCCTTCCCTTTATATTTATGACATTTATCCATAAGGGCTTGTCCATATGAACCATTTGTGAGCAACAAGCTGGGGTGTCAATCTACCACACATAGCCTGGTGCACACTAAAAGTTCCACGGTGTGCTCTGATCTTCTTTGCTGTGAAATGGAAGTAGACTAAAGTGCTATGGAATCCTGCTGCTGTGCATTAAAAGTCCTGTAGTGTACTTAGTTTGATATACTCTCATTTCAAAGTGGGGTGGATCAAAGCACATTATGGGACTTTTAGTGAATAGCAGCGAGGTCCACACTTTTAGTGGCTGGCTGGCTAACACAACACAGATTTACACCACAGTTTGCCATGGACTAACTGTTCCTACAGACATGGCTTAAGATAGCACCTCCAACCAGCCCAGCTTAAAAAACATACTGAGGCACTGATTATTGATTAACCAGGGCAGATAAAAATCAATTTTTTTTCAAAAAAATCAGATTTTTTTTTATTTAAATCGGATTTTTTTGATAAAATGTTTTTGAGGAAAAAACCTATCTAAAGACAGTTTTAATTAAGATACATTATAGCGCAAAGATATCATATCATGGAATAGGGATTATAAATTCTAATTCCATAGTATGAGACAATATATTCATGTAATGTTTAAGAAAAGTTTTGTAAATGAATTCCAATAGTATGGATTAGGGACCCAATCTTATGGGGTTCCCAGGGCTTCTGTATACATTATTTAGGTTAATCTCTCTATCTACCCAGTGAGACTCAGTCTAGAAGATACCAGCAGAGATGCTTAGTTTTGCAGTTCTCAAACTGTGGATTTGTGTCTCCAGAGATAACATGCTTGTTAACAGCAAAAAGTTTTTAAATAAATAAATATATAGTGAGAGAGAGGTGAGAAATAATGGCCCTCAACCCTACTGTCCCTCTGCAAATTTGTGTACACAGAGTCAATCCCTTACCTCTCTCTAAAAGTGAAAAGTTTCAAAAAGTTCAGTGAATAGAAGATTGTTGGGGGTGGAATAAATCTGGACAAGGAGAAGAAGTCTGGAGATAAATGTGAAAAGGGAGGGACAGGCAGTAGAAACAAAAGTGTATTGCAGCATAAAAGTGCAGCATATTCCAGAAGTCTGGAGGTCTTTCTGAGTAAAGTCTTCAT